TTCATTCCTATAAAACATCCTTATAAATGAACTGGGCATTTTTTAACCTCACATGAAAGCTTATCTGCACTGAAATAGCTGTAGATTTGAACATGTGATTATTTGTTAAATTTGCAAGATCTTCTGAGATAAAAGGCTAGCTATACATGTAAAAGATATGTAGATATTTCGGTATGATAATTAATAGCAAAGTTAATAATTAATAACATAATTATTTGGGGATACATTGTATTTATTTAAATGGAATACGTGGTCTAAGGAGTTAACATAATCCAGTCCCTGTTGAACAACACACACTGTTACACAAAGTACAGCATCTGGTATACAAAGACCTCTGTCTATTTAGTACCATGGTAAACAGACTATTACAAGTCTTTTTAACTTTTTACTAAAACAAAAGAAAAAAAGGAAAAGCAGTCAAAGCATTTGCAAAGTTTTAGGTTCACTTTTTCTTTAGCTAGAGAGAGCTTTTAGAAGGAAAAAACCCTTGTTTGAAAGTCTCTTAGATTATATCAAAGATGGCAATAACCACCCTTGGTGGGGGTAAGGAAGAGAAAAAGTTGTTGCTGTTTTCATAATATGGTCCTGTTTCATCTCAGGTGGTGTTGGCGGTTCAGTTGACATTGGTAGGTGTGACACCATCATCTGGATCCCTCTTTGTGGCCCAGTTTGGTCAGTACATCTCTAAGGATCTGGATGTTAAAAGCCCAGGGTTCCTGGAGACCAGGATGAGGTGGGTTGGATTATGGCAGCCAGGATTGTGAGGTTTGGCACAGTAGCTTCTGTTTTTAATTTCACTCTCTCCCCAAAATCTCCTTTCTTCAAGGACTCACAAAGAGAATGGTGGGTGGAACAGCTCATTATCTTGTTCACCAATTAGGCCTAACATTAGGTACACCAATACTGGTTCATTAATTTTAATGTTCCACATCTTTTGTGATTTAAACACAGTTCTTTGGTTATAGCAAGTGGCTTTTTTTTTGTTTGGATTAATTTAATCTCTCTGGCTTAATTTGCACTGCTACTTTACTGTGCTGCAACAGTCTGGGTCAGAGGTGTGAAAAAACATCCCGAGTGCAGCATGTTACAGTTCTATAAAGCGCCAGTGTAAACGGGCTCCCAGCACTGTTAGCCATCTCCCCCATGGAGGTGGTTTACATAGAGCACTGAGAGATCTTTCGCCCAGCACTCATGCTGTGGCTCCACTTTCACTTTAAAGTACTGCCACGGCTGCACTTTAATTTTAGAAATATAGACAAAACCTCTGCCTGGTTCTCTTGCATTTGTTTATAACATTCATTATGGAAAACAATCTGACCTACTTCAGATCAACATTTATTATTGTAGGCTATTATATCATCTTATGAACTTTCATATCCTATTTACAACTGAGTTTACAATTATGGAAAATTTATCAACCCAATTATCACACCAAGTAATAAACACTTTGTTAAGATGATAAACAAGGTGTGATCATCTGTTAGGCCCTGATTCAGTAAAGTACTTAATTGCATGACTAACTTAAAATGCTTAATTTAAACATGAAATCAATGGGACTACTTGTGTTTAAAGTCAGGCATGTATTTTTAAGACAGGTTGGGAAACTCAGGCCCAGGGGTCAGATGAGGCCCTCAGCTTGCCTGGATCTGGCCCCTGAGTCTCAGGGATCCCCTGCATTGGGGAGCCCATGCTGGCACTCCAGCCCCCCGCTACCCACCCACATGTCTGGAGCGTATAAAATCTACTAGCCTTGGCCCCTGTATGCTCTGGTATGCGAGGGGAATGTGACGAGTGTCTTTTTCCTTCTCAGTCAGGGGCTTCTCACTTGTGTGTGGCCCCCGACAGATTTTTTTGTGGGTCAGTGGTCCCCAACCCCCAAAAAGTTTCCCATCTCTGTTTTAAGCACGTTGCTGAATCAGAGGTTTAGTATTACTTCTTCACTTTGTTTTGAAGACACAGACAGTGCACTGGACAAACAGAAGGCTAGGATTTTATGTTTTGCTAGGGTATCTAAACTTAGAAGGATTAAATTTTTATTTGTAAATGTGATAAATGTCAATTTAATCATAAACACAGAAAAATATTTCCAATGATGATAATCCAAATTTAGAGACAAAGTAGGCAAAATGCTGCTTGAGAAATTAGTTGAGATTGTGAATATTGACATGACATTGTCAATTTGTGTTTTAACAGTTATAAAGCCTTAAAATTTTGAATCTCAATGTCTGTCATTAATTAACTCTGAAAACTTAAATTAAAAATGCTTACAAATAAATATTGATATTATCCATTAAAATTATGAAAATAAACTTAATTAAGCTAAGCCTAAAAATATGTTAGCGTTTGGCTCATATAACATTGTCATAGGAAAGACCCTGCTATGACAGAATGTTCAAATCCACAGAATGTTCAAATGTGGAGAATTTTATTGTTCACAGTTATAATACAAGTTGTAGCTCCTTTAACCAGGACTCCCTGGTTTGGCAACAGCTCTAGTTTGGCATAGACCACAGATATTCTTGGACCACAGAGCCCAAGAACGGGGAGATCTGGCAGTGGGGCAGGATCATGTTAGGGGGCACCAGCAACCTAGTGTATGTGTGTGGGAGGAACAGATGTCACAGTGGGGAGTTCTGGCTCCAGTAGTGGCTGTGGAGTGGGCTCTGTCCCTGGCTGCGGAGTTCCCACTCCAGCCCTGGCCGTGCAACTCCAGCCCTGGCCGTGGAGCGAGGCAACTGCAGAGCTCTGCCCTGGTTGCAGAGCTCTAGCCATGGCACTCTGCCCCAGCAGCAGTTGGGCTGGTGTCATCTAGAGAGCTCCATGGGGCTGGAGCAGCAGTGGGAGCAGTGGCAGAACAGTCCAGGAGGGGAAGAATCTTCCCTGATCTTGCAAATCCCCTCATTTGGGACCAGTTAAGTCCCAAGGGTGCTGGACCTGCGAGGTCCAACCAGAATATTTAGCAACTAGAGTTAAGTAAACTCATCATAAAATGAAAACCAGAAAAATAAAATCACATCAGGCACCGTATGTAGAATAAAGAATTAATTACAAATCAGGGCATGTTATTATGCACCAAGAAACACAGTATGTCAGCATACTGTATACAGTATAGTGGAGGAGGAAGGGTGGCAACTCTGGGTATGAAGAAGATTAAGGAGAATTTTCTGATTTATGATGTCCTGCTTTTTTTCAGGGAATGTTTTCTCTTTTGCCTGTATCTCACCTTCCTTTTTTATTAGAAGATCTGTTAAATGGTTTATTTTTTAACCTTTAACTGAATTATATTATAAACATATTAGGAACATATCCAAATTTCACCAATCAAAATACCAGAAAGTTAATGTACATATTTTGCAACTATATTCTGCAATCATCTGTGTATACAATCTGATCATTAATTTATTACCTATGTACATATACTTTCCTGATACTGGAGATCCATAGTATTCCATTTGCTTTTTATGACTATCCATTGCATTTTCCTCTGTACAATATTTATGGAGGGCAGCTCTGTAATTATGTAGCACCAACTGTGACAATCACACAGTTTTGCCAGTCATGCAGGAACACCACAAGATCTTTTCTGTTTTTGCTGTGGCATTGTACGGCTATTTTTGTGGATAAAGCTGCTTACTATATATTATTATTATATTACTCTATATTTAACCTGGATCCAAAAATCAGGTCATGTACTAAAGAGAAATAATAAACAAGGTCCCTCATACCAAGGGCTCTTAAGCAAAGTAAGCTGTCATGAAATAAGAGGGAAAATCCTCTCATGGATCAGTAACTGGTTAAAAGATAGAAAACAAAGGGTAGGAATAAATGACAATTTTCATAATGGAGTGAAACAGTGAAAATACCATGCTGAAAATTCTGAGTCAAGGCATGCTACATATCATCTTGTGTTTTGCATTAACAAAATTTAGTTATTTTTTCCCCGCATGTAGCTGTATCATCAAAGATACTTGCTAGATTGGCACTAAGCTTTTAATTCACATTTGATTTAAGTACTGCTACAGAACACAGACACCATTAAAGCCCTTAAAATCATTATATGGATGCTGAGCCTTTTCCTCAAAGACATATTTGACATGAATCATCAATTTACAAAAAAACAAACTAAAAAGGAACAAATAAAAACCCAGAATAACACATTACATAAAATACTTATATAATTTTAAATCCCAAATGAAGAGGAAGAAGAGTCAAATAAGGTGAATGCATTTTAAGCAATAAAATTGGGTTTTTATTGCTTATAGAATATACATTTTAGGAATAAATATAATTTTATTGATAATCATGACCAGGGCTCAACAAATCGCTGAATCTACTTGCCCGTGGTGAGTGATTTCAGTCGGTTGCACTGCAAGCCCCATTCACCGGCGCTTTGCGCATGCGCAGTGCAGGGCTGGCGAGTGGCTCTCACTGGGGTTTGTCTAGCCCTGATCATGACAATGTATTAATGTCCAAATACCACTTACTACCTCCACTTACTACCTTTTAGTAAGTGATACTCTGGACACTTTGGAATAGTTTACATTTATGACTTCTTTATATGGTTTATGCACATTTCAACTGGTTCACATATAGGCCTTAATTCAGCAAAACAGCTAAGCATTTGAGTTAGTGCTTTTTCTGAAAATGAATGTTTTCCTGAAGTGCAGCCTAAAGGAATTTTTTAAAAAGCTGTATTTGGACGTTTGAAAATGAATTCAATGTAATTTTAAATTTTAAACCAAAGATAATATCAATTTATATAAGAAATTATGCTTCTGTGCTGGTGCATTTTTGTGCCCATGTGCAACCCCAATGACCTCCAATTTGCCAAGAATCTAGCATGTGGATCTGATGGCATGGTCGGAGTGTAACTAAAAAGATTATATTTAAGCAAAAAGAGATTATGCTTGTTTTTAATACTGCACATCCACTTGGAAATATCAGCTACGAAGGTTTAGGTTGTGATTCTATACAGTTTTACAGTGAAAAAAACATCTTACCACAAGCTGAACTCGTCCACCATTTAGTATGTCTGGGTCTAAGTCAGGCAAGAAGCGATTGCTGTGTAGTGATAAAAAAGTACTTCAAATACTTCAGTAATACCTTAAGTATGCTGATTTTGATAAGATGCCTTCTATTGCTCAATAGAGAAATACTATTGCTCAATAGAGAAAGCAACATTTTCTGTTAAATATGAACAAATATTTTATAGTATATCAAGGTATATTAATTAGTAAGCATCTGAGTAGCTCAAATGTGGTGAACAATTATTTCAAGATAACCTTAGATGCAGTTTTCAAAATACAAATTGGTCAATGACTGAAAACAACAAATATACCAGGTTACAAAATGAGTATAAATTCCAACCATAGACTCTGATCCAAAATCCTCTGAAGAAAGTGAAAAAACTTCCTTTGACGCCAGTGGGATTTGGTTCAAGATCACAATTATCAGATCTTATCATATCAGTTGTTATATTTACCTTCTGTAGCAATGTTTCCAATTAGATAAATCTATCAGCTGTTTACACATTGTGTTCCAATTCAAGTCACTGGGAGTTTTGCCACTAACTTCACTAGCAGCAGGATTAGACAAAAAAAAAAATCTAAATCATCTTAATAAATTTTAGTTCAAATAGTATATGCAGTGTTGTAGCTGCATTGGTCCTAGGATGTGACACTGAAACATATTTGACAGAGGCCTAAAATTGAGCTCTGTTTAAGTTAAAAAGCTTGTCTCTCTCACCAACAGAAGTTGGTCCAATAAAAGACATTTCCTCGCTCATCTTGCCTCTCTAGTACAAATATTAATGTACTACAAGCTATAGATGTTGGTAATATGGGTGCTGCTACACACAGTGGCTCGAATGGCTTTCCATCATATAGGCTATGTCTATACTGTGCCTGTTTTGCACAAGAAATATGCAAATGAGGCTAAGCATGGAATAGCGCCAAGCCTCATTTGCATAAGTAATGAGCGCCCGCTTTTTGCGCAAGAGGCTTTTGTGCAAAAAGAAGCCGTCTACACGGCTCCTTTTTGCGCAAAAACCCTCTCTTGCACAGGAGCCGTTCTGCTGGAAAAAAATGTGGAAGAATAGCTTTTGCGCAAGAGGGGTTTTTTGCACAAAAAGGAGCCGTGTAGACAGGCTTTTTTTTGCACAAAAGCCTCTTGCGCAAAAAGCGGGCGCTCATTACTTATGCAAATGAGGCTCAGTGATATTCCACGCTTAGCCTCATTTGCATATTTATTGCGCAAAATGGGCGCAGTATAGACATAGCCCTATAGTGTTCACACTTTAGATCAACAGCTCTCAGCACCCTCTCTATAAAAATTATTTCTGCTACAGACATTTGCATAGGCAACTTAACATTTTAAAACTTTTCCTCTTATAAGTTGTCATATTTTCTTACTGTTAAAATTAACTTGTTTTCCTTGGTAAAGTATATTAATTAAAATAAAAAGCAGTGAAAAATCACCTTAAACACCTGGAGTGCATGAGCCTTACTATTAAAGTATATTATTTATTATATCACATATGAGAGTTTAAAAACTGTCCCACTATTTACTCATCTAATATATACAATTTAACCATGTAAAAAAAGTTAATTTTTTCTCGTGCAAAAATATATTAGTAGTTTCCGTCTTTGGAAATTAATTCTATTTTCACTTTAAAAAATATTTTAATGAGCATACAAATATTTATTATACTTTGACAACTAGCCTGATTTTTTAAAAGTGATGCTCATCTGCAGCTCCCAGTTATTTCAATGGTCAAATATTTATTGGATATTGACTTTATGAATAAGACATGTTAAATGTGCTATGTTTACACTGTCACCTTCATTAAAGGAACAAAATTATTTTAATAAATTTATATTCGCATTTCTTTTAGTTAGTAACCAAAACAAAGTTAATGCATAACAGAATGTTTTACCAACTCTTACACACTTTTCAAAGTGGTATTTTCTTAACTTGCTCTCTCAGTGTTTCAAAGATAAAATTTTAAAAAAAATCCATTTGTAAAGTTTTATTTAGGTCCTTAACCTAACAATATATGTACATTATATCTAATTAGTTATTACACTAAAATAATTTAAATGAATGATATAACAATAGAATTACATCCAGATGGAGAACATCTATTTGCCCTATATTTTTCATAGAATATAGTTTCTCATGTTTCTGCTACAAAGTTACTTATGTATTTTGCCATTAGATATTGCCTGTATATTGTATGTTGTCTAGATACTGCATAGCATACAAATTCACTATCAGTTGTAAAACAGGGATTCACAGAATTATCAAATTATGTTTAGTGGGAGCCTGTTCAGGACCTGACAATGTTGTGTGCTGACCTGTGGCTAGAAAGCCATATTTGTTTTAGGGCAACTAACCTAAATTTCACTTTTCAATCAGTATTTAGTATACAGAAATCTAATTCTAAGGCCAATGATCTCACCATTTAACATTTCTCAAATTGGTTGCTTCATAATCTCCGACTTGGTTGTGAAGCCATTGGTATGTAATTTCTTTGCTCCTTTGTAATCTCTCAGTGGAAGTAGTATCCAAGTGGACAAATTCTTCTTCCTTATCTGGAAATGAAAAAGAGATCCTCATGTTTCATTGTTTTTTGATAACAACAGAGAGTGAATGAGTAATCATCAAATTCTGCAAATATCAGAGATATTCTCAAGGAAGTCAACAAACCAGCAGTTATCCATTTTACCTGCAAAAAGTCTAAAACACTCCAACTATTTTTATATGCAATTTTTTTAGGATAAAATTTTGACCCTTTGAAGAAAAGTATCCAGAAGGGGAAAATTGCAGAACAGCTTTCTGCAGCACTTGAGAAATAAAGATTTATCTAGGAACTTAAAGATTTGCATAGTGCAGCATCTATGCACCTCACAAATATTAATGAATGTATATTCACTTTGCCCCCATAAGATAGGAAAATATTATTCTCATTTTCTAAATTGATAGCCAAAGCAAACGTGACTTGCCCTAAGTCACACAAGAAGAAATCAACAGATCCTCAACTGACAGTGGTCCCAAATCTCCAGCTTCAGCTGCCTCCAAATAGTCATTTCATATTAAGATAATTGATTTCTCCACATTTCAAGAAAGATGTGGAAAAATTGGAGAGGGTCCAGAGAAGAGCAACAAGCATGATTAAAAGTCTAGAGAACATGACCTATGAGGGAAGGCTGAAGGAATTGGGTTTGTTTAGTTTAGAAAAGAGAAGATTGAGGGGGGGGACATGATAGCAGTTTTCAGGTATCTAAAAGGGTGTCATAAGGAGGAGGGAGAAAACTTGTTCATCTTGGCCTCTGAGGATAGAACAAGAAGCAATGGGCTTAAACTGCAGCAAGGAAGGTTTAGGTTGGACATTAGGAACTTTTTCCTAACTGTCAGGGTGGTCAAACACTGGAATAAATTGCCCAGGGAGGTTGTGGAATCCCCATCTCTGGAGATATTTAAGAGTAGGTTAGATAAATGTCTATCAGGGATGCTCTAGACAGTATTTGGTCCTGCCATGAGGGCAGGAGACTGGACTCGATGACCTCTCGAGGTCCCTTCCAGTCTTAGTATTCTATGATTCTATCTTAATTCTGTATTAGCAAAGATTTTTTTTCTGGGGGACGTCTAGATAAAGAGTTGGAACAACAGTTGAAACTTACTTCTTAGTGTTGAGAAAAACAGAGTGAGGGAGGGAGAGAGGGAGGAAAACACATATACAATAAGCTATAATAAAAATTACATACTATACTTTAACTGGAAAGTTATGTTTTCCAAATTATTGTTAATAATTTGCTACATGTATGGTCTGGATTTCTGACTGTGTTATGTCTAGGGAACACTGCCAATTGTTTTATTCATAGCAATGCAAAACATTCTGACATCCAGTTGCTTAAAAAAGGAAGTGATCAAGATAAATGGAAGTACATTAAACTGACAAATGTATAAACTGATTTTAAAACACATCTGCTATTTAACACAGTGGCCACTTTCCATATTACATTTAATACCGTTTTTGCTTTCTCTGTCCTGGTCTACACTAGGGAGTTATTTCAAAATAACCCCCCTTAGGTCGAATTAATAAGAGGAGCATCCACTCTACCAAGCCCATTATTTCAAAAGAATGGGTTGGTTATTTCTAAACCTGTCCTCCTGCTTTCCTAAGGGAATAATGCTTATTTCGAAATAGCGTTAGTGTGGATACTCTAGTGCTGCTAATTTCAAATAATTGGCATCCAGAGGCCTCTCTCAGATGCAGTTCTGACTGCTCTGGCCATATGCGGCATCTCCACTGCTCCGCTTCTCCTGAAGAGCTTAAAACTCCAGGCACCAGGAAAAGGGCTTGTCCCACGTGGTGAGCTGTGAAAGCCCTGTGCGACATAGCAGCAAGCAAGGGAACCAGGGCTAACTCCCTCAGAGCCTCCCACAGCTGCCAGCACTCCTGCTGCTCCCTCAACTGTCAATGGCCAGGGATGCAGGAGAGCTCTGACCTGGACTGGTGCAGAGATCTTGGACCTAATAGAAGTCTGGGGGAGGAGACCAATCTGCAGGATCTCTGCATCAGGAAAAGGAATGTGAAGGTGTATGGCTGGATTGCTGCCAGACTGTCAGACAAAGGCCACAACCGGACACTTGATCAGGTCCAGATGAAGATCAAGGAGCTCTGGCCATGACACACCCAGCCTCAGCCTCCAGGAGGGTGGGGCTGAAGACGAGAAGGAGGAGGAAGAAGAGGAGGCGGCCATCCAGATGACCATGCCTTCCGGCCAGGACCTGCTCCTCGCCCTGGAGCCAGTCCCTCCCTCCCAAAATATCTCCTAGGCTTTGAAGGACCTGGAGGCAGGTACTTCAGGTGAGTTCTGTGTTTCCTATCCACATGTGGGGGCAGGCGATGGGCTGTGAGGGGCTGTGCCCTCCTCGCTCAGCCAACTTGGCTTGTGGGGTTTCACAACAGCCTGTGCAGGTGGAGTGCTAATCTGGACCACTCAGCTCTGTGACGCTCTCACACAGGAACACCTCAGTCCTTCTCAGAAGGTTCCTGGAGAGGCTTGCCTTACTCTGTGGCCTCCATGGTAGAACATCTTCCTACCTCAAACCATCATTAAGGAGTCTGGGATCATGGAACCACACAGCAGTGCTACACACAGCCCAGCACCTCCCTCAACACCCCCCCAGCAGGCAGGGACAGAGGTTCTTTCTCTGTGGGATGCCACCAGCACTGGACCTGATGTGTGCAGGACACAGAAGGAAGCTGAGCCACCCTGTTACCCCTCGTGCCCCTGACTCCTGACCCGGCCAGCACCTTCCCATGCCTGCTTGTCCGCAGGCTGTGGGTGTAGCAATGCTCCTCTGGGACATCTGTGTCCCCATTTGGTCTTGCTCGAAGCACATCATCATGGTCTGAACTGAGATCTTTGATGTTGGCTCTGAGATTACGGCTCAGCTTCATACACAGTGTCTCCTGGGATAACTGCCCTTGTCACTTTTCTTCACAGCTAGGCCAGGTGTGAGTTTAGCATGTCTCCCACCTCCCATGCCAAATGCATGAATCCATGGGATCCAAAGGCAGAATAGAACCTTTAAGGACCTTATGCAGGAGCAGATGGCCTGCCTGCAGTTCCTCATCCAAGGACTCGAGGAGGAGTGACAGGAGTAGGCCACCAAGTGGGAGAAGTGCCAGGCTGACTAGGAGCAGAGGAATGTCTCTGCTAGCACAAGCTGCATAACAGCATGAGCCCATGTGCTCCTCCCTGACCTCGGTGATGGAGCTCATGGCTTCATGCATGGAGCAGGCCACTAGCCACCTCCCCCCACCCCACTGGCCTCCCACGAGGCTGCTGGGACCCCAGAACATGAGGCTGTGGGATCTCTTAGGCAGCCAAAGACTCCCACCCAATTGGAGGCAGGCATAACTCTCACTCCCATATTTGAGATCTGTCCCCCTTTTCCCCCCTCCCCCATCCCAGGTTCTTTCCCCATTCCCTCCCCTGTTGTACATCCCACCACTAAACAGTCCTGTTGTTTCAAAAAAAGAAGACTTTTTTGTTTGTTCTGCAGGGGAGCGGGGGAAGGTGGTAAGGGAGGGCAGAGGAAGGGAGAGGTGGGGCGGGAAAGGCACACACAGGGAATGCAAGGACCTTTGTGGACAGGCATGGGGGAGAGTCTCACAGCTGGCCTTGAATGAAACAATCCCTCAAGACCTCCCTTATGAGCACAGCCTCTTGATGTGCTCTCTTAATGGTGCTGGTGTCCGGCTGCTCGAATGCCCTGGCCAGCCGTTCAGCCTCTGTCCCACCTCACAGCAGAAAAGTCTTCCCCTGCTCTGACACAGGTTGTGGAGCACTCAGCAGGCTGCCACTACAAAGGGGATGTTGCACTCGCTGATGTCCAGGTGAGTGAGGAGACTCCTGAACCTCCCCTTTAAATGGCCTAAAATATACTCCACTACCATGCAACACCTGCTCAGCCTGGTGTTGAACTGCTTCTTGGTGGGGTCCAAGCTGCTTGTGTAGAGCTTCATGAGCTAGGGGAGCAAGAGGTAGCCTGCATTGCCTAGGATCATGATGAGAATGTTCATCTCCCTGTTTGATGGTGCAGTCTGGGAAAAAAGTGCCGATGTGCATCTTTTGGAAGAGGCAGGAGTTCTGGAAAATGTAGGTGTCGTGCACCTTCCTTGACCAGCTGATGTTGATATCGGTGAAGCATCCCTTGGGATCCATGAGGGCCCTTCCTGTTCACGCCGAAGTAGCCCTTTCTGTTCATGTAGCCTGAGACATGGTGGTCAGGGGCAAGGATGGGGATGTGCATGCCTTCTATGCCTTCCCACACACACACACACAGTTGGAGAAGCCCATGGCAACAAACAAATCAACGATGGTATCCACATTCTCCATAGTGACAATCCTCCATAGCAGTACCTGGTTGATGGCCTTTGTTACCTGCAGGAGCACAGCCCCA